AACAAATACTGGTTACCCAGACTTTTAACAGTCACTCCACTGGTACAGAATACACCATATTTTGCAATGTTAATTGCAAGACTACAAATGTTGTGTATCTCCTACAGTGTAAATGTGGTAAACAGTATGTTGGCGAGTCAGAACAGCCGTTTCACAAACGAATGAACGGTCATCGTAGCGACTACCAATGCAAGCCAGACCTCCCTCTCAGTCGACATTTGAGATCCCCTGGCCACACTAAGGCAGATCTCAATCGACTGACCATTACAATCATTGACCACAACTCTGCTTGGTCTAGGGAGGATAGACTCACTCGGGAAAGATTTTGGATAAGAAAATTAACAACTTTGGCACCAAATGGGATAAATGAAAAGATGTAGTTCGACTCCATGCAGTGCTTCACATTTGGGTTGTATTACTTTTTATTACAGTCTCTGTTTCTATTTCTTTACCTAACTCATCTCTAAAATAAATCTGTTGAATATACCAATTTAAATTGCTTAATTTTTTGAGGGATGTAAAAGTACCAAGCCACGTTCAACTAGTTAACCTTAGTCAAAATTTATTATTATATTTTAACGGCCGTTTGTTTGCGATGTTTAAATACACAGACTCTGTTGCAACTACTCTACCGTTGTCAAATTTGAAATATTTACAAATTTAGATCGTTCAGTGCTGTTTATTTGGAATTCTTATTGACGCAATCGTTCTTGTAACATCATAACTGTCGTCACCGTTAAAGCTTTAGAATTGTGCTAGTTCATATCGCACATTATTATTTTTATTTAAAGCATATATTTGAACTCTCTGTTGTAATTAGTCATATAACCTATGTCGTGTTTAACACATATTTAGAATTGTGCAAGCGTCTTACCTGATGTTCGGTTTGACATTTTTATTGTATAAATTTCAAGATTTGTATAGTTTAATCTAAGTAGACTGATATATGATTCATTCAACATCACTATCATATTTACTGATGAAGGATATCTGTTATCCGAAATATTTATAAATAATTACATTTATAGTTCCTTTTTTTGTCATTGGTGTTGTTGTGTACACTTTTTAGGCGTTTATATATATATATATATATATATATATATATAAAGGAAAGCAAGTATATGGGTGTATATAGATATAAGAAGATGTGGTATGAGTGAAAATGAGACAACTCTTCATCCAAATCACAATTTATAAAAGTAAACCATTATAGGTCAAAGTACGTTCTTCAACACGGAGCCTTGGCTCACATCGCACAGCAAGCTTTAAAGGGCCCCAAAAATGCACACAAGACAAACAAATCATAAACTATAATGAAATAACCAATTTGTCGAAACTTTTGTTTTGAGATTTCGGGTGGTAGTTTATTCCAATCTTTGATTGTAAAGAATGATTATTTAAAACTATCTTTGTTGCATTGAAGCTGTATGTATGTTTGTTGATAAGGACTGACTTTTTATGATTATATATGGCGATGGTATTGCAATTTCATTGTTTATGACTTTGTAGAACAGGTGATGCAGTTACAAACTCAAATGCTCACACCATACAGCAAGATAAAAAAAAAAAGGAACACGATTTTGTATGTTTTTCATTTCAATGATAAAAAGTCTACAATAATCAAAAAAAGAAAAATGAAACCAAAAATTAAAGAGCTTTTCATCGCATCGCTTTTAATTATTGTCCATACATAATTATTTTCTCGGCATGCATTTGGTAAACGCCTCCAAGTTCATTGGCAACTTTTCGGGCACTTATTTGTCGTGCATATTTCATAAACTTTTATTCGTTTCCTTTCGTTATCGCTGGTAGCGTTAAGCAAGTGGTCGCTTAATACAGATAAAATATAAAGAGACATCTATTGGAGGAGTGAAAAGTGGTTGTATACAGCAGTCGGTTTCTGGATGCAGACAAAACAAGACAATCAAGACAAGAAGACATATACTTTAATAAAGTCTAACCACTATATAAAATATACAGCAAAGTAAAACACAAGTTAACAACAAGAGCCACTCTATAAATAGTTATAAGAGACTATAAAACAGTTTAGTATATAATAATACAATATAATTTAATAATACAAATACAAGTCAATTATCATGAGTGAAAAATACATTTTCGCTTTAACAAAATTTCATTGCAGATTTTGGCAGTATAAAATACCATATATTCATTTGTAAAAAGAAATATCAATTTTTCATTATCAGACATATGAAAAAAATTCTCATTAACAATTATAGCACGTTTAAAAATGACATTACGGATATCTGTATATACAGGACAGTTTAACAAAACATGTTTTTCATCTTCAACGTCATCAGTACAATTAAAACAGTCATACTCCATTTTCTATATTAATATTTTCGTAACAACCAGTTTTGATTTTAATGGGCGCTACACCACATCCAAAGTTTACTTACGCACTCCTGTGGCTGGTTGTGTTACTACAATAAGCGCATTTCAAGTTGGTATGATTAATTCAAATGAATATCATCAAAGATTAAGGCAGTCAGTCCGAAATATCAACATTTCGTCACAACAAACTGTGCCATTTTATGTTTTTTTTTCTATAATGATTAAAGGTAATGTTGGTATAGGTTAATAAGACAGCAACCAAACCACACAATTAAACCATAATAAAAGACAAAGTTGAAATCAAGAAAAATTCTTCAATAAAACACAAGTGTCCATACTTGATGTCAAGAGTTAAATTGTCAAAGAATATAGGATAGTAGTTTCGAATAAACTTTAACGAAAACCTTCAAAATTTTCTAAAAGGTATACTTATAAAAAACAAAGTCGAACACTTAATTGAAAGAAGTGAAGCGGCTGACATTTAGGTGAATGAAGTACTTTGAGCTAGGTTGCAGAAATTGCGACCGTTATTTGATACAGTATTATTAAGTGTGTGTACCTATATGACTTTATCATCCATTCTACCGATGTAATAGAGTTAAATCTAGAACACATAGAATCTGATTACAGTAGTTGTCGTCTGTTTATGTAGTTCATACGTGTTTCTCGTTTCTCGTTTTTATATAGATTAGACCGTTGGTTTTCCCGTTTGAATGGTTTTACACTAGTAATTTTTTGGGGCCCTTTATAGCTTGCTGTTCGGTGTGAGCCAATGCTCCGTGTTGAAGGCCGTACCTTGACCTATAATGATTTACTTTTATAAATTGTAACTTGGATGGAGAGTTGTCTCATTGGCACTAATACCACATCTTCCTATATCTAGTTAGCATCTGACTTCATCCTCGGTTTTTTGTTGGATTCGTGTTCCTCAATTTCTAATTTTCTGTGCAGTGTTTTGCGGAATTCTGTGTCTTTTCAGAATTTTTTTTTTTAACCAGGTTTTTGTCTGTTTTTCTTCCACTTATGATTTTTGGTTGCCCCCTTGATATTTTCTCCCTGTATTTAATTGTATTAGTTGAAATTTGACTCTGAACTATCTTTAAGTTACTACTAGACTCCTAGATTGGTACTTTGTGTTAGTTGTTTGAAGCTTAGAACTGAATTGATGAGGCAAGTCATTTTCAATTGCTTTTTACTGTTTTTTTTATGTTCTGTTGTTACACCACTGTCATAGCTAAAGGATTTGGAGGGAGGGCACAGGTGAGCTCTCACAAACATTTTTAATCTCGCGCTACATTCTGTGCCTGTCACAAGACAGCAGTCATAATTGTTTTTGTTTAAAGTCATTAGCTTAAATCGGGTCGTTAGTTTTTCTCTTTTGAATTGATTCACTTTTTTTATCCTTGGTCCTTTTATAGCTCACTTTGCGGTTAGGAGTTTGTTCATTGTTAAAGGCCAGTTGGTGAACCTAAAGTTGTTTATTAAATAACATAATCCTTTTTTTATTCTTCGATGGATAGTTGTCTTATTGTCAATCATACCACATCTCCTTTTTTTATATAAAGTCCGTTTTTTTAATCTATTTGTACTGCAAATTCTGAAGGTATAAGTTTTTTTATTCTATTGATTTTGATAGAAAGTTGGATTTGTAATAACATAAGCAACACGACGGGTGCCACATGTGGAGCAGGATCTGCTTACCCTTCCGGAGCACCTGAGATCACCCCCAGTTTTTGGTGGGGTTCGTGTTGCTTAGTCTTTAGTTTTCTATGTTGTGTCATCTGTACTATTATTCGTCGGTTTGTCTTTTTATTTTTGGCCATGGCGTTGTCAGTTTATTTTCGATCTATGAGTTTGACTGTCTCTCTGGTATCTTTCGTCCCTCTTTTGGAATATTGAGTACACATAACCTTTAGTAATCCTACCACAATGTGCCTTCCTGTCCGATGTCATTCGCTGTCTTTACTTAAATGCTAGTGGTTTTGTTCTTTAATATTTACGGCTTACCTGTGGAAGTCTTTGTTAAATTCATCCTTTGGTGTGATTGAAGCTTAACATGGGGAATTTTCATTATTCTTCCATTATATTTTATCGATGAGCGTATGTAGTATTGATTCTTAAAGCGATATACAAATCTTTCTTTCTTTTTTTTCATTAATATTGTGCATACTTGCAATTAAAAATTTAAATGAATTTATTATTTCAATGAATTTCTGCTGTATGTCCTACTGCTTGTTTAATTAATCACAACAGTTAATAATGATTAATTACGGTGTATTTCTGTGAGCACTATGTGCTTTTAATCCGATATTACATTATTGATGATACTACTGTAAATGGTTCCGATCTCTGAACTGCCTCTTAAAATAAAGGAATACCCGTTTTGTGATATGGTTCACTTGACTAAATACATTAATAGATATAATCAATCTCTACTGGGTTTCTACAATTATATAAAAAGTAACTGTTATAAATTGGTAGGAATTATAATGAATGTTATAGTAACGCTGGTTTTAACAGGCTGATGATCCATTCATGAAATAGTCGGCCAGTTCGAAATTAATCCCTTTGAAAAAAAAACCGCCTGCGACTTGCATTGCTATGTTATATCTGTCCTAAATGAAATACATTAATTTCCTTTTCAGGATAATATTCCGGAATAACAGCAGAACCTATAGAGTAGAGAAGGGTGTACTTAATACTTCCCAGGTGAGTTGCTATCTCATTGACAGGGTGCACTTAATACTTCTCAGGTGAGTTGCTATCTCATGGACAACTTTAACATATCACATGAATGTTAGTACTTAGTAACTTTACTGTAAAACATGATCACTTTTCCTTCTAAATCTATATATCAAACAGAAAATGAAAAACATATATACAACAGTCCTCCTGTCTCATCTAACATTTGTAAGCTAAATATTTATTTCAGGTGCAAACAGTGAGTAATTCATCAAAATAATGAGATTTTTGCAACAGTGACACTACATTACAAAAATGTAAAAATGTATCTGATCACAGACATATCTTGTATTAATAAAAATAATTTGATATAAATGTACACAATTCCATGTTGCCAAGGTAACAAATTTTATGATTTCACGGTGAGACACACAAGAAGATACCAAAAAGACAACAACCAATCAAAAGTCATACAATGTAGATTGACAGGCAGAACTATTAAGAAAAGAAAACAAAAACTGACTAGAAAGAAAATACATTATATCGAAATTTAACATTGAACAACTCGTAATCATCAAAAACATAGAGTAATTAAACTCCTAGGGGTTAAAAAGATCCTGCTGCACTTGAGGCTAATGACATAGGCAATAAAAGATTCAAGTTAAAGAATCTTAGATTTATTTCTAAAATCTAAATGGGCATAACACTGTTAGCCTCTAACTGTCAGCCTGATTTAATATTTTCTATTTCTGTATTTTATAAATATTAATTTCCACATATGTTAGTTTATATTACTTTAAATGCCGGTTAGTTCGTCCACACGGGAGATAAGTTATGAATTATGTTGTAGATCTTATTGAATTATAGTCCGTTTGTATAATGATATAGTGGTCCTTAAAAACGTGAATTTTCTAACTGTATGTACATAAATAAGGAACATTCTGTTTACGCCTTAAATAGCTAATATTGATACAGAAAGCATTGCAATATTCAATATGTATATCGATACTAAATACGGGCGGTAGGAATACAAAGGTGATATTTTTTAAGACAGCAGTTGTTTATCGGTGTTCAAATGTGATTAATCCAATGAGAATATAAATATCAAGGTAAAACTGAGGGAACCGCAGAATCTCCAAAAGGAGCGAGACCGGGCGTGTCTACAGTTGTAAACAGTGCAACTTACAATACACACATACATATCATACAATTTAAATGTACCAGCAACAAGGTTTTATTTTAAAATAAAAACGAAATATAGCTTTATGAAAATGACAAAGCGTTTTTTTTTTTATTTAAGCAAACTTTATAATCAATTGGGACAGTAAGAGCTTGGTAAAACTGAAATCAATAACTTAAAGTTATAAATTTAAAGTCGTTGCTATATTGTCTGTATTTTATTTTGCACTGAATTTATATTAATAGAGAGTAGGTAAGTCAGTTAAACTTATTTTGAGTAACTACATGCTGAGTATATATAAATTGTTTATCAACCATATGTTTAATTGATAAATTATATAACGATTGTCAAAAAAGTTTTTACCGGCAAAATCAAATCAAATAAAACGTAAATAATACGGTTTTTGGCCGGGTTGGACGAAGTCCAAAACCGGCTTATAGTATGGTGATGTCGGGCGGATGGGCGGGCGCGCGGGAGCACGTGGAAAAGTGGGTACATAATTTCTGTGATCAACTCCTTCTAACAGTTTTCAACCAAGATCCCCGAAAATTCACTTGAAGATTACATATATGTTGAAGTTGTGCACCTTCTTTTATGGAATTGTTTGTGGATTTTTTTTCTCATTTTCCAGACTTGGAAACATAGTCTTTTTTCAGCAAAATTTATGAAAGTGGGTACAAGTTTTGTGTAATCAACTCCTACAGCTGTCAACCCAGATCCCTGAAACCTCACAGAAAAATTGAACATATGTTGAAGCTGTGCACCTTCTATTATGGAATTGTTTGAGGATTTTTTTCTAGTTTTTTTCCAGATTTGGGAATTCAGTCATTTCAAGCAAAATTTACAACCTTCGTGTAATTGCAGCTACATCTTAAATATCTACATTGAATAGAAATAAATATTGTAACCCGGTCATGTGATACTTTCAAATATAATTCTAAGATCCTAATTTTGGTTGAATGAAGGTGACAAGCTTAATATATACATTAGGTCGTTGGTTTTGTTTTACATTTTGTCATTCTGGAGAATGCCGATATTAATTTACAGGATTGCAGGTTTTCCTGCAAAAGGTGGATGGTTCTCTCCGAGTTTTCCAACAATAAAATAAAAACTGACTGCAATGATATAGCAAAGTGAGCTTGAAATGGCGTTTAAAACCAACAATCAATCAATCAATCAATCAATCAATCAAAGCAATCATTCTTGGGACTTTTATAGCTTAATATTCGGTACGGGTTGTGCTCATTTATAAGGCCGTTCGGGTTTTGCTCGTTTTTAAGGCCGTTCGGGTTTTGTTCGTTTTTAAGGCCGTTCGGGTTTTGCTCGTTTTTAAGGCCTTTCGGGTTTTGCTCGTTTTTAAGGCCTTTCGGCTTTTGCTCATTTATAAGGCCGTTCGGGTTTTGCTCGTTTTTAAGGCCGTTCGGGTTTTGCTCGTTTTTAAGGGCCGTATAGATTTTGCTCATTGTCGATTGTCGTACAGTGACCTATATAGTTACTAACATCCACGTCCTCTGGGGTAATCATACCATATTTCCTTATTTGTACATATGCCGATAATAGAATAAGTCCCTTTTGTTATGTAAAAATCATTTTATTTTTATAACTAAATGTATTATTTAAATTATATCTATTTCCTTGTGTCAGGTATTATTCTCATCAAATTCATAAACTGTTATAAAGACTTATCTCCTCTTAATTCATTTCAAACCAGGGTCATTTTTATACGACCGCAAAAAAATTTTTGTGGTCGTATATTGGTATGACGTTGGCGTCGTCGTCGTCCGGCGTCGTCGTCGTCGTCGTCGTCGTCCGGCGTCGTCCGGCGTCGTCCGAAGACACATTGGTTTTCGCACTCTAACTTTAGTTTAAGTGAATGGATCTTTATGAAATTTTACCACAAGGTTCAATACCACAAAAGGAAGGTTGGGATTGATTTTGGGGGTTATGGTAATAACAGTAAAGGAATTAGGGGCCAAAAAGGGGCCAAAAATAAGCATTTTTGTAACTTCCAGACATAACTTGTGTGTTAGTGTATGGATCTCTCTGACATTGTACCACAAGGTTCCATATCACTAAAGGAATGCTGGGATTGATTTTGGGGGTAATTGCCTCCAAATTTTAGGAATTAGGGGCCAAAAAAGGGGCAAAAAACAAGCATTTTTCTAGTTTCATGACAATAACTTGTGTGTAAGTGTATGGATCTTTCTGAAATTGTACTACAAGGTTCCATATCACAAAGGGAAAGCTGGGTTTGAGTTTGGGGGTAATTGCCCTAAACGTTTAGGAATTTGGGGCCAAAAAGGGGCCAAAAAACACATTTGTTTCTAGTTTCCAGACAATAACTTGTGTTCAAGTGTATGGATCTCTCTGAAATTGTACTGCAAGGTACCATACCACAAAGGGAAGGCTGGGATTGAGTTTGGGGGTGATGAATCATAATGGGGGTTCAAAAAATTTTGGGGGGGGGGGATTTATTTTTTTTTTCATTTTTTTTCTTTTTTTCCTTTTTTGTTTCTTTTAAAATTTTCCATTTTAAGTTGGTTATTTCTGATTTATATTTAAAATCAAATAATAATGATATGGTAGGAGATACACACCAAACAGGATGTGTAAATTATTATATAATAAGTATTGTGCAATAGCAAGAAATTTTCAATTGCACAGTATTGCACAATAGCAAGAAATCATCAATTGCACAGTATTGCGCAATAGCAAGAAATCTTCAATTGCACAGTATTGCGCAATAGCACGAAATATCCAATAGCACAATATTGCGCAATAGCAAGAAATTGTCAATTGCACAGTATTGCGCAATAGCAAGAAATATCCAATAGCACAATATTGCGCAATAGCAAGAAATTGTCAATTGTACAGTATTGCGCAATAGCAAGAAATATTTAATAGCACAGGATTGTGCAAAAGAAGATACTTCCTATAAATTGCTTATTTCTTGACCAATTTCAATGGGGTTTTATTCTTGATTTCATGGGGTTCTTTAATATGCTGAATCTAACCGTGTATTTAGTTTTTGGATTTTGGGCCCCGTTTTTAAATTGGTCCACATTGAGGTCCAAAGGGTCCAAAATTAAACTTTGTTTGATTTCATCAAAAATTGAATTATTGGGGTTCTTTGATATGCCGAATCTAACTGTGTATTTAGATTCTTAAATTTTGGTTCCGTTTTCAAATTGGTCTACATTAAGGTCCAAAGGGTCCAAAATTAAACTTAGTTTGATTTTAACAAAAATTGAATTCTTTGGGTTCTTTGATATGCTGAATCTAAACATGTATTTAGATTTTTGATTTTTGGGCCCCGTTATCAACTTTGTCCACATTGAGGTCAAAAGGGTCCAAAATTAAACTTTGTTTGATTTCATCAAAAATTGAATTATTGGGGTTCTTTGATATGCCGAATCTAACCGTGTATTTAGATTCTTAATTTTTGGTTCCGTTTTCAAATTGGTCTACATTAAGGTCCAAAGGGTCCAAAATTAAACTTAGTTTGATTTTAACAAAAATTGAATTCTTAGGGTTCTTTGATATGCTGAATCTAAACATGTATTTAGATTTTTGATTATGGGCCCAGTTTTCAAGTTGGTCCAAATCGGGGTCCAAAATTAAACTTTGTTTGATTTCAACAAAAATTGAATATATGGGGTTCTTTGATATGCTGAATCTAACCATGTATTTAGATTTTTGATTTTTGGGCCCTGTTATCAACTTTGTCCACATTGAGGTCAAAAGGGTCCAAAATTAAACTTTGTTTGATTTCATCAAAAATTGAATTCTTGGGGTTCTTTGATATGCTGAATCTAACCATGTATTTAGATTTTGGATATTGGACCAT